AGCATCGTGTCTGTAGTATACATACTTTTGTGTACACACACATGGCCGTGCATGCGCACTTTTGAGCAGAGTAACTCACAAGAGAAAAGCAACTATGATTTTCTTTCTTACTCCCTTCCGACATGTTTTTCTATCGGGAAACAAAGGCATTCCCCTTCCATTTATATATGTTCTAAGACTTAAGACGATCTTAAATATAAGAACGGACTATGGCCGGTATTTATAAGGTGCGTTCCGTTTCACGCATTGAGCGCATAGATTGCCTGGAAATCTATAATATATGTGAACTATAGATTTCCAGGCAATCTATGCGCTCAATGCGTGAAACGGAACGCACCTTATAAATACCGGCCATAGTCCGTTCTTATATTTAAGATCGTCTTAAGTCTTAGAACATATATAAATGGAAGGGGAATGCCTTTGTTTCCCGATAGAAAAACATGTCGGAAGGGAGTAAGAAAGAAAATCATAGTTGCTTTTCTCTTGTGAGTTACTCTGCTCAAAAGTGCGCATGCACGGCCATGTGTGTGTACACAAAAGTATGTATACTACAGACACGATGCTTGTATGTGTCGTTACTCCCAAGAGAGAGGCAACTACGATTTCTTTCTCACTTTCTTCCGACACTTTTCAGCCTGCTATTCCCCTTCTATTTATATATGTTCTAAGTCTTAAGTACGGTCTTAAGATGCTATGCGCCTATTTCATTGGTTGAATGGGAATTGGTTGATTAAGACGACCCAAGATCACACTTGGGGCCAATTTCACCAAGTCCTCCAGGTTAGATGAACCGAGCTCCGTAAAGTTAGCCGGACCACTTTAACTTTTTAATAATTAAATTTATCTAATCGTTTGGTGGTCGTTTGGTGAGGATTGGTAGCCTAATTAAAACGTTTGGTGGTCTATCGTTTTTTTTTAATTAAATAATTAAAATATTGGTGTAAAGTTAGCCGGACATTTTTTAAGATCATCTCAAGTATGGTCTTAAGATGCTGTGTGGCCATTTCATTGGTTGAATGGAATCTTAAGACGACCCAAGACCACACTTAAGACGATCTTGAATGTAAGAATAGACTATAAATACCGGCCCTAAAGGGCATTCTACAATGGCAGTAACAAGGCTGTAGGAGTAGGAGAGTATACTGTTTCTAGTGATGTAAAGACCGAGAGTAACGAAATGGGCAATTCCCATTTGCTCTTAAAGCTTTTAAGAGCAAAACATCTCTAAACATCTTAGCGACGATTATCGTTGTCGTTAGCGAGCCGTAGCCTATGAGTATTGCGCTTTTTACCAGGATTGCCCTTGCCATTGGCTGTCGCTGGTTAACGATACCGAAATTTGTCGATAGCAAGTTATTGAATCCCGCTACTGGAAGCTGTAAAGTTAGCCGAACAAATATATTATTTACCAACCAGTTTTGTTCAAATTGGTCTTAATTGAAAGACAATCGTTTGGTCGTGATTGGTAATCTAATTACAACGTTTGGTAGTTAATTATTAGGCTACTACGATTATAAAACCATGTGCGCTGATCCTGCGTCTGCGCGTGCCTTCGTCGTGTAATGGCTCTTGCAGATCAGCGCGATATCCAATGAGAGCTTTATTTTTTCCGAAAAGTAGAGCTCTCATTGGATATCGCGCGTCGCATCATCGCGCTGGCTGCGAGAGCCATTACACGACGAAGGCACGCGCAGACGCAGGATCAGCGCACATGGTTTTATAATCGTAGTAGCCTAATAATTAACTACCAAACGTTGTAATTAGACTACCAATCACGACCAAACGATTGTCTTTTAATTAAGACCAATTTGAACAAAACTGGTTGGTAAATAATATATTTGTTCGGCTAACTTTACAGCTTCCAGTTAGCCATCCTCTCTATCTAACTGCACATGGTTTTTTTTTACTTTTTGGATAAATTATGGACCACCAAACGTTGTAAAAACCGGACTTGGTGAAATTGGCTCTTAAAGGCTGGTTTATGCAGGCCGTAACTGTTAATTTATGCCGGAACCGTTAAAGTTTAACATTAGGATTACAATGCTTTTGTTCATAATGGCATTATGAACAAAAGCATTGCAATCCCAGTGTTAAACTTTAACGGTTCCGGCATAAATTAACAGTTACGGCCTGCATAAACCAGCCTTTAGTGTAATTCAAGTGAGGCTGAAAATTACAAAAATGAACGAATTTACTAGGTTTGGATCAATGATATTATAAATATATATATATATACATATATATATTATCTGTTATTACAACGTATTTTATGACGACAAAATCATTAAATTAATTTTTAAGAAACCATTCACAAAAAAAATTTTTTTAAGAAACAATTTTCTTATTAAATATTTTTCAAGTAAAAAATATTTTTGACATTTTTTAAGGAGAAAGTATTTTTTAAAAAAGCTTGGCGGTCCGGAACTTTGTACTTTCATCGCAAGAGGTCTCCAAGATAAATTTATCTCGATTCGGAGAACGTCACTTCTGGCGCCACTGACAGTGTGACAGTCCGTAGATTGTTAAAGGTCACGCGAGTGTCTTTGAGGGGTTATCAGGAACGGGTCTTACTTTTCTTGGGAAATTCATTTCGAATAATTTAACGTGACCTCCATTATCATCAATATGCTACCGCGATTCCTCAGGCCTACCATAAACGTCGCTCAGCAAGGAGCGAAACGATTATCAACCAGCACCAAGGTATCGTAATAAATTAAACTATGATTCAATGTGTTTTCCAAATCCGAAATTAGTGTAATAATGTGGACTATTTAACTGTTATTATATCCCCATTAATCGTTATTAATGTGCATGATAATAATAAATATAAATTTTTCGCTATTTTTGCGATTAATTGGAATAATGTGTATTTAAATATACCGTCTGTTTCGAGAAGACTACGATTATGTTTAAGAGGATCTTTTTATACATTTGCCTATTTAAATATATATCGTCTATTTCGCGCACACACATACACACACACACATATTCGTATATTCTCGTATTAGCATAAAGGCGCTGATTATTCCACGATTATCTTCATCCACGTTAGACGACGTTTATTGCGGGAGAGATATCATTTGCCACCTTTATCAATTACGTGGGAACTTTGCATCGCACGTCACGAAGAGCGCGATGCTGCAATCAGAACACCGTTATGCAACCGCGAATTATTCGATCCCAAAATGCTGGCGTATTAAATTGACGTATCAAGACATTTTCGGACCGACTGCGAGAATAATGAGGTCCTAATATATATTTTTTACCATATTAAACGTCTTCGCGATTCTATCAATGAAATGATAATAAATTGTAAACTTGACCTTCCGAGAAATCTTTAAACATTCTATTAATTTTGTTAATTGCATAAACAAAATTAATGGAAAGAAATGTTTAATCCCATTTTATTAATTTGCATTCTGCACACATTTACATATGTTTGTCTTTTTCAAAATGCTAACATCTCAATTGTATTCTTTCTAGTGCGATGCCAAGGTTGCTGTTATGGGAGCGAGTGGTGGCATTGGCCAGCCGCTATCCTTACTTCTCAAGCAATCGCCTCTTGTCACTGAATTATCCTTATACGATATCGTGAACACACCGGGTGTTGCCGCCGATCTCTCCCATATAAACACGCCAGCAAAAGTTAAAGCTTACAATGGTCCGGAGCAGCTCAAGGATTCTCTGAAAGGCGCTCAGGTATGTCGTAGAAGATTATGTCATAAATATTTAATACTTATATTTAAATATTATACATATGTGTGATTTAATTAAACTTATCAAATCGGAATTGATTAATCTTGTTTACGATCTTGGTGTTTTATCAAATTTATATTTCGTGTATTATTTTTAGGTCGTTATCATACCTGCTGGTGTGCCGCGCAAACCAGGCATGACCCGCGATGATCTCTTCAATACGAACGCTTCTATTGTTCGGGATCTCGTCGCCGCGATGGCTGAAGTCGCGCCGAAAGCCTTAGTAGCAATCATCTCGAATCCCGTCAACAGCACAGTACCAATTGCCAGCGAAGTACTGCAAAAAGCATCTGTCTACGATCCCAATCGTGTGTTTGGAGTGACCACTCTGGATATTGTCAGAGCAAACACATTCATCGCAGAAGCAAAAGTATTTTAAATATATCATAAAATAGCAAGGACAAAATCGCATATATAGAAATTTAGGCTATCAAATTTTACTTTAAATATCAATAGGAGTCATAATGTATAAAAAAATTATTTATCTTAATATTATAATGCAAAAAGAATTATATCACTTTTCACTTTTGACATTGTATTCCAATAATGGCTGCAGTAAATAATCAAGTGCTTTAAGAGGCATGGCATATAAAATATTTTTATTCGATATGATTAAGCCAGAAGAATATATTGCATTATTTTTTCCAAACTCTTACTAAACTAAACTTGTATAATGAAAAAACATCGTTAACATATTAATGGTAAATAATTATGATTTTTCAGAATCTTGATCCACAAAAAACATCCGTCCCGGTCATTGGTGGACACAGTGGCATCACTATTATTCCACTGATCTCGCAATGCACACCATCAGTTTCTTTTCCGGATGATCAGTTGAAGGCGCTCACCGAAAGAATTCAAGAGGCTGGTACCGAGGTCGTTAAGGCCAAAGCAGGTACCGGATCCGCTACCTTGTCCATGGCTTACGCCGGCGCACGATTCGGGCTATCGTTAATTAGGGCGCTCAACGGGGAGTCTGGTATCATCGAATGCTCATACGTTAAATCGAACATCACTGATGCTAAATATTTCTCCACACCAATACTTCTGGGCGTAAGTAGAGATGTAGAAATAAATCGCGTGACTCTCCACATTTATCTATTTGTTGTCATTGTATATCTTAGGAAGAGAAAAGACTGCAAATAATTAATATTTGTTTAATTTATATAATTTGTTTCTTGATCGATATAGGATATTACTTTTTTGTTAAGCCACACATTTGTTTTTAGAATATAGTATAATACACATTTTCAATTTTAATGTTATTATTGTGTACATTCTGTTTTTTCGTAACATATATTGGTATATTGTGAATTTCAGAAAAATGGACTTGAGAAAAATTTGGGCTTGGGCAAACTAAGCAGCTTTGAGCAGAAACTGCTGGACGCCGCCATCCCCGAACTCAAGAAAAATATTCAAAAGGGAGAAGATTTTGTAAATAAGAAGTGAAATCTGTCGGACCCCTAGCTAAATAGAGCGTGAGAATTACTGATCTTTGTTACTCATTTTATATAATCATAGTCATCACAGCAATCGAATTATCATTTTTCGACTGTGATGAGCGTGAAAATCCGCGAATATATTGTTTGTTTCTCCTGACCTGCCAATACATATATATGTAAATGTGTAGTATATGAATTGTGCAACAGATTTTATCGCGAATGTATTTATAATGTTAAGAATATTGTAAATGAAAAGTGTACTGCCGAGCAGACTTATATATACATATTAGTATGTAAAATAGGGAATAAATAAAATAATAGAATTACACACAAATCATGATTTAACATTCTCTTGAGGAAAATATATAATGTAGCAAAGATTTCAATAAATAACGCTCTTGCAAATGCATTAAAATTTCTTTTTATTCAAACATTTATATATATATGTAAATTTAATTTAAATTTAGTTTTTTTTTCTCTTGAAAATCAAAATTATATTTGATTTTAAACAACTAAACTCAATCAGATTTGCTTTCAGATTAATTTAAATGATATCCGAAAAGGCAAGATTAATATAGAAAATAACGAATTTAATAGGAAGTTAAGTATGTCAGCATCGCGCAAATACCAAAACAAATAATATAAACAGGTAGATAACCTTGAGATAAACAGAAGATCTCTCAGGAGTATAATATACGCGCAATATTGTTCGTTTATTTCAAAGAGTCGTGTAGAAGTGCAACGTAACGTAACGCTTTTTGAAGATTACCTAATTCACACAACTTTAGCGAAAAGTGTGCAGTAAGATGCCTATAGTTAATTGCAACAGATCTTATATAATAGATTATATAATGTATATATACATATAAGATACATATATAGTACAGTGTGATATCGCAATATAAATATTTCACGACTCCATAATGAAACGTAGAATGTACAAACGACCGTGGCAAAAGTTTCACGAGATTCAGGAGTCTTTTCGGGAAAATGCTCGTTTGCGGTCATCCGAAGATTCGAAGAACAAAGACGCGAAGCAAGCGAGCGACATGTCTAATCAACATTCACCGGAATTAGTTCTATACGAATCGGACCCATGTCTCTGCAGCGGCAAGCTTAGTCCTGAGATTATTCTCAAACGACCTGAAATAAGAACGGAGAACGATAAAGATGTGATCGAGGATATGATTATCGCGGGGAGGATTGGACGATCCAGCTTGTCTCAAGAGTGTCATGAGTCGAATCTTTTAATGTATGATTTTAATATTGAACCTGAAGATGATTTCGCCAACTTGGAAAAGTATTATCCTAAGCGCGATACTACAATCGTGGACGACCCGCACGATTTAACGGACTCGATTCATTCATGTAGTTTATCTTCCTTAAACAATATGTTGAATAGCGATGAGAACGAAACAGCCGATATAATGCACAATGGGCAATCTTCAGCGGAAACTCTCGAAGAAACGACTCTCCAAAGAATCTCGCAATCAGCGCAATTTCCTTCTAACTTGGAATCTCAATCGCGTGAAGACTCAGTTCCAGAATCCGTGAATTTTTACAACAAGCATGAGAGACGATCTCTGGAGAAAAGTTCGAATCAGCAGAAAAATCGCGATATACCTGGAACGATGATGAACAATTGTTACTCGTTGGACAAGACGTTCTCGATGAATGACGATTTGATGCGCGAGATGGACAATTATCTAAACAGACAGTCATCAACGATGAACACCAATCAGTCTACCACGGAAACGACTTGCAAATTACAGAAAGAATATATCTCGGAACCCGCACGCTTCGCAATTTTTCACGAGATCGAGAAACGATCTGGATTCACTGACGATATCGGGCTACAATCGTCCGATGAACTGGCTGGATTATCCTGCAGATCTATCGAAGATCACGATGGCTCGCGAGACGATAAGAAGAGAAGAAAGGGGACATCAAATGACAATAAAAAATTCACCATTGTTCTCGAGAAAATCGGCGAGTGTTTAACGGCAAATTGGAGCGAGTTTCGCAGGATGTTTGCCTATTTGCAACGAGCAAGGAGGAAAATTCGTGGCGAAGACTCATCGGAACTCTTGTTATATAGAATATTCCCCTACGTCTCCGTCTCGACGTCGTCTTCCCCGTTTCGCACGCCTTCGGATCGCGACGTTGCTACGCGATTCTCATTCAATGGTGAAGGACGCGAATTCACAAAGGACGAAGAAGAAGAAGAAGAAGAAAAAGAAGAAGAAGAAGAAGAAGAAGAAGCGAAGAGAAGCGAAGAAGAAGAAGCAAAGAGAATCGAATCTAAGATTCGGCCGGAAACAAATTCTTGCGGAGAATCGCCGCAATCGTCGCCGAAAAGCTTCCGAAACGCGATTTTGACGTTCGATTACGAAGGGGAAGTGAAGAAGCAGAGGCAATCGGAGATTCGCGCGGAGATTACAGATTCACTTCCGGGAAAGAGCGAAGAACGCTCATTGGATCCGCCTTCATGTGGTAAAACGTATTGGGACAACATCTTGGAATCGACGCTCGATCTGTCCACGGTGTTCAATTACGACGACCGCAGTATTTCTCTGCAAAAAGTAATATTTTAGTCGTGTATCTTCAGATTTTGAAGAAGTAATCTTAACTAATCAGTTAACTTTTCTTTGTTTATCTCGAACACGTTAAAAGTATATTCTCTTTGTACACGTTTATTTACTACATCTCTAATAACTTTGTCCCGTTTTTGAATAATCAGGTAAAATATCATCAGGATGACACCTATAAACACCAGATGTCACAAAATAGCGCGAAGCTACGAGACTCCCATGCACCTCGTCGAAGAAACATTTGCCGCGCATTAATTACATGGGTGATTGCTCTCTGCATTTGGTTGAAAAAAAAGCTACTGCATCTGCTAAATGGTGTAAATTTTTTGCAATTGACTTAAGCCGGATCATATGGCAACGAACAAAATTTGATAACCTTATATATTTTTGTTATCAATTTTTTCAGACTTACAAGAAACTCCAAGAAGTGATTATCCCATCTTCGTCAACGGAAACTCCTCGAACGAAAAAATTAAACCGCTTAATAGCGACATTGCGTTCTGAAAACGAGAAGACGCTACGCTTACTGTCGAAAAAAATAACACGACTCTCGATGAATTTCGTCCAGGTAAGATTGCGTATTATTTCGAACCTTGAGAAATATTAAATATAGTTTTGCATTCGCGAAAGATCAATATACAATTCAATATATTTATATAAAATATTCGTATCAATATACATGTAATAAAGATAAATCTAAAAATAATCTATTAATATTAATAATATATTTTCTTGTGATTTTTGCAGATACGGACGAGCACCGAAGCCACCCTTAAAGCCCTCACAATCGAAGTAAATGTCATCCGTGAAACCAGTAAAAAGATGACCGAAGATCATATGACGCTAGTGCAGGAGCTGAAAAAGTTGCGTGAAATGTTAGAGGAAGTTCGACCAAGATTCTCGCAACCGGTTCCCTTGTTCCCTTCGTGTTCCTCCTCGTTTTCTCCTTCTCGTTCGCCCCCACCTCCTCCTCCGCCAATGCCATCATACTTAATACCTCCACCGCCACCGTCTCTTTCGCTTTTACCGAAAGTGCATACTTCGGAATCCGCATCGATACCACCTCCTCCGCCCCTCCCTTTAACTTCTTTACAGTCCCCGAAGCCACCAACACAGCCTCCGACAACCCCCAATAGTAGCAGAAGCAAGAAGAGTAGGACACCTAGAAAATGCTCCACGCCGTTGTTCAATAGGCCAACCATCACAGTTGAAGATCTATTAAAAGTCACATTAAAGAAGGCACCACAAAGTATTAAGGTATTGTCAAAATTTTATAACAAGTTTTAGCAACAAAACACCTTTATATCATCATATCAAAGCTAATGTGTATGCGCGCAACTTAAATTAAAAGAATATATTTTATTTTAATTTACTCTCAAAACGATTCTAAAAGCACACAAAAAAAACAATGTAATTTCTTTCAATACATTTCAGGATAGTAGACGAAACACTGTACCAGGTCCCAGAGGGCCGGTCGTGTCCCTGGAAATGCTGCGCAACGTAAAGCTAAAGTCTGCGAAACGTAAACCTAGCGATCAGACCGGAAAGTCGCCCAGGAGTGGCCGAATTATTAAAAATCGAACCGCGTCGAGCGTCACTCTTTCGCCGATTCTGACCGGATCAGAAGGTAATTTGGAGCGTATCCTGCGACAAGTAAATTTAACCAGACCGAGGAGACTTATATCCGGCTCGAATAGCTTCCGCGATCGCGACTTTGCGAAAGAGATGCAATCTCAGTCGCTGCAATCGCAATCCGCGCTTGAATAATCGCATCAGTTCTTCTCCTGCATCATATCTTATTTCTCGCTTCTAATGTCGTAAACCAATAGTAGTAAGAAACCAAAAAGCTAAAATTTAAATTAGATATATAAATTAAATATTAAATTCAGAGATTAAAAAATATTAAATATAGAGACGTATTATACATTTGTGTGATATAAAATTAATATAATATAAATTGAAAACTTTAAGCTCTAAGCTGAATAATTTATTTTATGACACTAGCTATGTGCGGCCGAAAGTTTAAATCGATACTTTTAATAAAAGTGTGATCTGGAAGATAGATTCGTAATTACTTTATTTGTAGCTTTCACGTGTGTGGTTTTACAGAAAAAAAAAAGATTGTATCCGGTGTAATCGTATTGATTGTAATACAGAGCGTAAGAACGCATGCGGATCCAGAAACGCAAAAATTAGTTCTTCCGAACAATGATGAATCGCGTTGCTCTATTATTCGTTCATAGTGCGATTTTAGAATACGTGTTCTAAAAGAGCGCGATCGAGATTCAATTCTATAAAATCTAATTTCTTCTAAATCTATATTTCTTAAATTGGATCAAATTTATATATATATATGTATATTAAAATTAATCTTTTTTTTTTAATTAGAATCTTTAAACGCTCGTAGTAAAGGTATTAATTCAATCGAACAAAACATTTTCTTTTTTTCGACGGATTTACAGTAAAAAAAATTGATACAATTTTTAAAAAATGATTTTTGAACACTCTATGAACGAATAATCGGATCGTACGGATAATTCATCGGCATCCAGAGATCGCTACTACCACCATTTCGTTGCCACCTGACGCTTTTTTATACGTATCTAAATTTCTTAAAACACTTTTTGCCCGCAGCACAGATACATGCTAATGTAATTGAAATATATTTATATATATATACGCGTGTGTTGTTTTAACAGCCTACGACGGTTTCCGCCTCGCCCCGCAGTTCTTAATTTAGAGCTCTGTTTACCTTGCACACAATTTTTTCACGCGATTTAATCTCCTCGATCATCATATACTCGAGTTGATCTTACCCCGTCGCTCGGATGATCTCTCGCGTCGAGATTGTTACTTCTTCGTTTTTCTTGTTTTTTTTTCTTTTTCTTTTTTCCTTTCTTTATCCTATTTATTACGCTCTTACAATTACATTCGCAAATATACTTACTTACTTTACGAGAGCCGGTTGATATTACTTTGAGAATTATTCCTTGTATTCATAACGTATCATTTGTGTGTGTAACATGATTATCGTTTTTATCGTTACAATACCTAAATACAGGGGCACGATGGACACCAATTTTTTTTTTTTTTTCTTCCGTGCGGTTCCCTCGCGATCCGCGTTTCTCTCGCCGGATTGTAATCCTTTTTCTTGACGTTTGGACGCCTTGCTTTGTTTCCTGCGCTTATTCGGCGTCTCCTTCTCGGTATCATCGTCTCCTCCCCGTCGCGTTATCAGCGAAAAAACTGAGCGAGCTTAAAAATGGATTTTGGTAGTTCTAGCTCTATAATAAGTAGGTAAGTTTTAATGCGTAAAATGGTCAGTAACTAGCTAAGCTTACCTCGTCGATCTGAAGAAAAGGGGGTATTTTCACTGTAAATCTATGACTCCTTAGTACAAGAAGAACAATGGAATGTCTCAACGTAAAAGTTGATGGAATGACTCGTCGATGAATCGGCGAATGGATAATTATATAAACACGAACCGACTATTCGGATGGAAAAGACGTGGATACATACATATATCATACATGTAGGTACGTATGTATATATATATATAATGTATATATGTATTATTTGTATATATATTTATACATATATATATATAGATACGCACATATATGTATATATATATGTTTGTATAGTGTAAGAGTGTGTATGTGCGCGGGTGGAAAAAGTCGGGGTACAGTCATTTATTCTGTTCTTATACCACAGCAATCGATATTTAGTTTACACAACGGGCGTATGAAAACGTACAACCACATTACAGACTAGCTAGATAGTTGCTTGTTTGCTGTGTGAGTAACGTAATAACGCTAAAAAAGGCTCACTAACGTAATCTTTTCATTTTTTTTTTTCCCTTCTTCCTGTTTCTCTTTCACTTTTTTTAGTCAATCAACGACGCTGCACGATGTCGAGCTGACGCGATGAGACGCTCGCTTCGGAAAGATGCGTAGAGACGAACGAAATCGAAAAAAGAATTTCGACGATAACGCTTTTGCTTTTCATTCACATTATTAAGCTCTTCGCGACGGTCTCTTTACAAAAGCTCACAATCAGGCGAACGATATTATTGCATTTGACAAGATACAGACGGAGAGGGAAGGGGGGTTTGGGGGCAGGAGGAGGACAATCGAAGTAAGCATATTCTCGTCTCCTCAGCTCGGCTATGCCAAAAATCCATGAATTTCAGTTTTTTTTTCTCAGCTATCTATAATATTACACTCGGATCTTTTGTCAGAAGTACATATCTTATTACACAGAGTTACAAGCTCGAAAGCGAGGTCCGTCTTAACAATTGGCAATGTGAGGACGCCGCCGTTATTTCCGTAAAGAGAGAGAAAGAAAAAAATACGAGCGCGTGTTTATCTCTAAATAAATCGATTCACACGCATACGTTAACATCGTAGCAATTATAGTATACGCGAGACGATCGTGCGCGCAGTAAAAAAGCAAGGTTCGGAGTAACGGGACGGAAAAAGGAGAAGATTTTTGAAGAGATGGGAAAAAGAGTTGGCGGAGTAAGGACAGACAAACACACAAATGTGTCTCAGTAGATCAATTGGTGCTTTTTCTTTTTTTTCTTCCGCTATTTCAAAATATGTACGATACATATAATTCGTTTTCACTCACTGAGATGGGATTTAATCCCAGACGAAATTGGTGTAATCCGAACTGCCTGAGACTAAACAGAAACGGCGTTTAAGTCGTCGGCATCGTCAATTTTAAACGGATGGCATGCAAAACGCAAATATACGGCAACCTTTCCTCTCGATACGCAAAAACGGGGCAACTTAAAAAGTGCCTCTCCTTTCTTCAAAATGCTTTGCAGTCTCTATTTATCGCAGAGTGCGTGTTCTTTTGCTTCTGCGTGCTCCAAAATTCAATCGTGTATTATAATATGTGTACGTAATAATGCAATCAAATGATTTATGTTATTAATTAATTTTGTTATCGCTATGTTGTTGTCACTGCTGCCGCTCTGTCTTAAAATAACGGCGCGTACGTACTTTTAAGGGTCACGCAAATTTCTAAAGATCTCTCCCCTTCCCACCCCGAACTGCCATCTGCTGAATTGGTTTATTTTTCTTTTGCTTACGAGTTATTAAGAGTTTTTTCTTGTGTCTCAGTTTTATATGCGTAAGATAACACTCACTACAGCTAGAGTTACGATACGTCCTGATCTTCCACATCTTGCAGTTGCTCCTTTTGTTCGGCTTCACCTGCGTAACAAATGTGAATACATTATATCGTCATCATGATCGATGCATATAAACAAATGTTGAACAAATTTCATTTGGCAAATAAAATAGTTTGAGGAGCTAGTTTTAAATAAGTTAATTTGTGACTTGCTTCTTTCATTTTAACGCGATAACAGTTGTGTAAAGATCGTGTCGCTCACCGAATAGACGGGCTGCGGGGATGTTAGGAAAAGGGTGTATTTACGTTCAGGCATCGTGGGTATCGACAGCACTATCGCCTTGTTGATCAGGCTCGGATTCTGAATTACAAAATAATGATTCTGCGTTCGGAAATTGCATGCAGCGTTTCATTTCTTATACACAAATCGAAAAAGATTAAAAGTAAAATCGTAATAGAATAGAAATGATAGTTTGCGAGATAAAGAGAGCGTCATAATATCTAAATTTCTTAAAAAAATCAGTAATTTTAAGAAACACTTCTATATTATAATAATTAATTGTGCCCGAAATATATATACATATATAATATAGGTGTTATCACAACTTATCACAGGATTTGCTCCTGTAGAGTCATTATTTTGTCGCGTACTTTTACAAGAATATATATTTTTCAATAAATTTAACAACAGTTAATGATAATGACAGTTGGAATCGGAAATCACAAGTTACCAATTTGATATCCTGTTTAAGACATTTTAGATCCGAAGCCTGAGAAGTTTTTCTTTCGACACTTTCAAATCACACATTTTCAGTTTTTAATTAAGGACATTCATCTAATTTATCTCAATAGTAAAGACGCGTGAGATTAGAATATTTAAGATAAGATCTTCTATCACAATGCACGGTATTTGCTTGCGTATCGATCGGGCCGGACACATCATGCAACGCATTCTAGCGTAATCAAAACATCCTTATAGCGATTTTCGCCTTTGTAAGTAAGTGGGACACTACTAACCATCTCCCTGCATATCCGATGTCCATAGAGTGAGGTTGTCCCTGAGGAGCTGCATTATAAGGGTGGAATCTTTGTAGCTTTCCTCGGATAGTGTATCCAATTCGGCGATCGCGTCGTCGAAGGCCGCCTTCGCTAAGCGGCACGCTCTGTCAGGACTATTGAGAATCTCATAGTAGAACACGGAGAAGTTGAGCGCTAATCCCAAACGAATGGGATGGGTCGGCGGCAGTTCCGTCATGGCGATATCGCTCGCTGCTTTGTACGCTACTAGAGAATTCTCCGCCGCTTCCTTCCTATCGTTACCGATGGCGAATTCCGCCAAGTAACGATGATAATCGCCCTTCCTGAAAACGTAGATTCCACAGTAGAGATTAATACAGTTTGTATATTGTACGCCGAAATGAAACACGATACAATGCAACAGTTTAATTCAAAAACGCCCAATATGATTTTGTTAAATAAAAATAAAAAAGAGGTAATAGAAAGATCAATTAACGTTCATCATTCATTTAACAATAAATATGGCTCTAAATATAAAAGCGGAAATATATGGATTATTGTGTTATATAATAATTGATTTAAATTGTTTTTTGAGCTGGAAAGCTTACCATTGAAAAGCTATACACATACGCATAAATTTACATTTTATATATATTATTATATATTATATATATAATATATTTATATTTATATGTATAAATTAGTCATTAATAAATCAATTAAGGCAATTATATAGAAAATGTATACAAAAGGATTTTTACATTTTATAATAGAAGACTTTGGATTCTCCCGTGGAGGCACACGGTATCAAATGCTTATCCAAGACGCCGAGGATGTCGGCGCAAATATCCCTGAGCTCCTTTTCGACTTGAGATCGGTACTGACGAATCATTTCTAGTTTTCCCTCGGCTCCCTTGTTCTCCTCCTTCTGTTCGATACTCGAGATTATTCTCCAGGAAGCTCTCCTTGCTCCAATGACATTTTTGTATGCCACTGAGAGAAGGTTCCTTTCTTCGACGGTGAGCTCTACGTCCAACGAAGCCACCTTCTTCATTGCTTCAACCATTTCTGTAAATTCCGATAAAACGCAATTAGTAATTTTATACACAAACACAGACAATAAGAAAACTGTTACAAAGTAACAGAAAAGTAGAAGAAAATAATTTTCGTAAATTTTCGATTAACTATGAAACTTGACAAAACAGATAATTAGTTTATAATCACTATAAAATTCTATATTTGCAAGCTTTTATGCAATTATTCTGCAAAGTACAGATTGTCAAAAGATTTCTCGTAAATCATTGCTAAATAAACTCCATGTCGCTCGTAAACTTGTTCGTTTAAATGGCATATGAACGTTTGGCCTATAAAATGTTACGTGCCCATCGCGGATGAAACGATAACGCCGAGTACCTTTGGAGTAAAGGGGATGAACGCGTCGTATATATTAATCCGCGCTGCCCCTTGAACTTTGCACGGAAGTCACTAAACACGTATTTATCGGCATATTCGAGCGATATTTGCCGAGAAGCGCCGATCTTTTGGCCTTCAGATGTTTTTACGGAATGTCCTCGCGATTTTTGTACGTAAGCCTTTCACAGAGTCCCAATCGACTAATCTTTTAATAGAAACGCATATGTTTAATAGAGAGAAATTACTTTATACTAATACAGGGTGTTTATCCACACACACACACACACACACACACACACACAAAGTTTGTAAAAAAATTCCATAATCTTTCAGGTAATTTTTTTTAAATTCCAGATAAAATTAGAAAATTTTTAGATGGAACCTTTTAAAACAAGTTTTTTTTTTTTGTTGTGCGTTTTCTAATGCTTTTCACTCATACAAAGGAAAAATAAACCATTTAAATTTTAAATATTAAATTTAAAACTGTATTGAAAAGAATTGGATGACTTTTGTAAGATAAGCATTTTTCATTTGCATAATATTTTCATTTTCTATCATTAATTGTAAAATTACAATAAAAAGTGTACTCAGTATTGTGTGTTCAGTATTTTTTGTTACGACAAAGAATATATAATTAAAGAGAGAAAGATATATATTTCTAATATATTTGAAATATATAATTCACACAATCATTGGGCAATTAGATTGTCGATGCTTGCAATATAAGAACAAAATGATTAGAGAATTTTTGAAAAAATTCCCTGAGTTCGAATAAAATTCCATGAGAATTCCCTGATCTTTCAAGGTAAAAATAAAATCCCTAAGAATTCCAGGTTTTCAAGGTTTTTCCAGGGACACCCTGTAATATATATACGTAGTATTTTCAAATTAAGATTAAGAGATTATAGAAAAAAGTTAATTGTTGTATCTTTAGAATGAGAAGAAAAGAAAATTATTAAATGACCCAAATCAAATGGTAAAATTGAATAAAATTTTTTAAACAGAAATACAAAATGCGTATTTTGAAAACTTTTATAGACGATATCAAAAAAACTATTAATGTTTATTATAGTGATCAAGGGGATCTTCTTGTGAGAAGCTTTAGCTTAAAAAATCAGGAAATACCGGGGATATGTTCGACTTGACATCGATATTTCCATTCGAAAAACATCACAAAGTTAAATTTTCAAAAAAACTGTTCGCTCTCGGTTAACTCGGCCAGCTCGTTTGCACTTTGCGCGCTAAAAATGGCACAAGTGTACTCCGCGCTCTTAAAGAGAGAAAGAAAAGGAAGAAGAGAATGTAGGAAGCTGCGAAAACCCGGAGACCTATAATAACGGCGTAATAACGGAAAGGACGCGTTGATCGATAACGTGGATCAACGGTGCGTCGCACGCACCGATGTATCGGTGGTGAGACTTCAAGTTCATGGGGGGTAAATGTGACGTAAAGCGGGCGTTACAATGAACACACGTTACACCCATACATAGATCGAGGTGTGCAGCAACGTGGATAGCGGCCAGATCAATACTTTCCTTCTGCTAACCATCCCTCTCCCCATTCTATCCTCCTCCACCACCTCCACCTCCCGCTCTCGTCACCTTCTCTCTCACCCCTTTTGCTCATTCGCCGCCCGTTCCACGACTAAACCCACCCTTCTTCCCTATCTATCTATCTATCTATTTCTCTCCATCTCCCCTTTCCTCCTCTTTCTCTAAGCTATCTTCAAATTTCTTGTCCTCCTGAAATAATAACATTATTACCCCGCCTCTATTCTGGTTTTCAGGGTATCTATCCAAAGCTCTATCCAAAGCTTGTAAAAAAATTCCCTTAGAATTCCCTGATTTTTCAAGTAATTCGTTCAAAATTCGAGGTAAAATTGGAGAGTTTTTAAATGAAACTTTTTAAAATAAGTTTTTTTGTATGCGTTTTCTAATGCTTTTCACTTATACAAAGGAAAAATAAACCACTTAAATTTTAAATATCAAATTTAAAAATGTACTGAAAAGAACTAAATGACTTTTGTAAGATAAGCATTTTTCATTTGCATAATATTTTCATTTTCTATGATTAATTGTAAGAAGTACAATAAAAAATGTGTACACAGTATTGTGTATTCAGTATTTTTTGCTATGACAATGAACGTATAATCAGAAAGAGAAAGATATATATTTAAAACACATATAATTCACAATCATTGGCCAATCAGATTGCTGATGCTTGTGATATAAGAACAAAATGATCAAAGAGAGAATTTTTGAAAAAATTCCCTGATTTCGAATAAAATTCCATGGAATTCCCTGGTTTTTCAAGGTAAAAACGAAATCCCTAAGAATTCCAGGTTTTTTAGGTTTTTCCAGGGTATAGACACCCTGGTTTTGCTCTCAAGATCGATTATGTTGGCTGGCGTCAAATCTGCTTAACTCATATTGACCGAATTTTCTATCTATTACGCATTACTCAGTATTACTCAAATATGGATATTATAAATACAGATATTATTAAGGTAATAGTGATGATAATATGTAAAGAGAGCGATGAGTTGTCGATATTTAAAGTTAATCAATGACTCGTTCAATTACATATGATCGTTCTTAATAATTGTTCCTCTTACAAGAGCATTTCTCGCTCTTTGAAGAAATATGAAGGCTACGACTTGAAAAACGATCACTGAAAAAATGTGAACGATAGGACAAATCGATTTATCAAACTTTCAATAATTACGTTCAACATTGAAATCCCAAATATTTTATTCTTAAAGAATATTCTGAGAAAATATAACATTTTTATTATTGTAGAAGCAATCTATATCGAAACGACTGCGTTAAAGCTGACATTTGTTTAATTTAAAGTGGTTTCGTTTTAAAAATAGGATACGTTAATTGGAGCGATTCTGAAAGAAAGACGGAGAAAATGAGATTCGGCATAATTGGAGTAGCTCTCTATGAAAGGAACAAAGATTTATTAATTAATATCGCGAGTTGTCCTCGAAATATTTCGTTATACAAAGTAACGCGCAAAAAAAAAAAAAAAAAGCACAAAACGTTATGTATGTATTATTTCTGTGTAAATTTATATTACCTTTGTAATTTTTTATTTTACTAAAATATCCTCAACATACATATGTTATTTTCCTTATTTTCAATCAATTCTCATCAGCGTTACCTTCTTGTGCAACACTCGGTACATTTCGACGAGCACAAACCCCTTAAGCCCGTATCACACTACGCATTGAAGATCGAAGTTTAACCAATCAGGACAAAGAAATTTTAGTTCCTTTGGTTCTGATTAGTCAAATTCCAATCTTTAATCCTCAATCTTCAGTTTTCAATGCGTAGTCTGATACGGGCTTTACCGGCCTGTACACGCCGGTGCATGATTTCGCCATTAAATGTCAAGTCACATGGCATTCCCACGCATAAGAGGGGAGGACGGGAGGGGGAGGGGAAGAGAAATTGCTAGGGCAATGAAATTTAGCCGGTGCTTTAGAAAGAAGCGCGCACCGAAACGCGTGGCGTAGGAAGAGGAGAAATTTGACCGCCTCTCCCCCATTCCCCCCTTCCTCCCCCG